CAAGTTGTTATAATTTATACCAGCTGAGGATCTGTCCCTAAGTTTCATTCCAGTTAAAAGGCTCTGTGCATGGATCTTGTTAGACACCAAAAATCATAAACTGATCATAAATTTAAAATGAGAGAAATTATTAAATTAAGTAATGCTAAAATTATGAAATCAAAACTCTGGGTTTTTCTGAACTATGCCATTTGAAACAGATATCTAAAAATAATTTATATTCAGGCCTTTGAGTTAAGCTGCTTGCCTTTTTAAATTTTAAAACTCTAATTGAAACTCCTCAGGAGTAGGAGTAGAGAGGTTTTTTTACTTTTGTATTTGGCACTGGTGTGATTGCTACTGGAGTACTGTGTCCACTTCTGGTGTCCACAGTTCAAGAAGGATGTTGATAAATTGGAGACAGTTCAGATAAATGATTAATGGATTAGAAAACATGCCTTATAGTGATTGACTCAAGGAGCTTGATTTATTTAATTTAACAAAGATCCGTTAATGGGTGACTTGATTACAGTCTATAAGTACCTACAAATGTTTAATAATGGGCTCTTCAATCTAGCAGAGAAAGGTATAATGTGATTCAATGGCTGGAAGTTGAACTTAGATGAATTCAGATTGAAATAGGTGTAAATTTTTAGCAATAAGAATAATTAAAAAATTTACCAAGGGTCATGGTGGATTCCCTATCACTGACCATTTTAAAAATCAAGATTAGATGTTTTTCTAAAAGTTATGTTCTAGAAATAATCTGGAGGCAGTTCTATGGTCTGTGTTATACAGGTGGTCAAACTAGATGGTCCCTTCTGGCCTTGGAATCTATGAAAGAAATGGGTATTAAAATCCTAATACTGTAAGAGATTAGAGTAAACTGATCCTTTGTATTTGAAATTATAATTCAAATGCTCTTTCTAAAGGATGAATGGAGAATTATTTCTTGTTAGTTTTGCAGATTTCAGTTCTTCTATCACAACCTTGGTCAAGCTTCTTTAACACTTGAGAAACTGAACCAATAAAAAAATTGTCAAGCTAGGCTCTGCTACTGTTTGCAGCTAATCCTCTGTGATGTTCTTCCTCATAATAATGGTGAAAATATATATAAAACTATTTATTGTTTTATGTTTGTATTTATATTACAGCAAGTCTGAGAGGCACAAATCAGGATCAGCCTAGTGGGTGAAGATCCAATGTGGAGATGGGACAATCAGATTGGAAATTATTTTTAAATTAACAAATGCATAAGAACATAGTAATTGTCATGCTGGATCATATGCTGTGATCCATCTCATCTAGTATCTTGTCTCTGATGTTATGGAAGGTAATCCAGGTCTCTGGTTGTCAGAGACTGATGTAAACACTAACGAATGTGGTTTAATATCCCTTCCAAAATGTTGGTTAACATTAATGATAACTCTGGATATTCTTGATCTCACCCCCCTGAACCTTCTGAAGATCAAATGGGTGCACTTTGCTTTCTATAAGGGGGCAATGTGGAACTGCTGGAGGGGAAAGGGAGATTGTGTATCTGATGGGGATGGACAGATGGGTCACTATCCAGTATAATGCCCCAGTCTCCATCCTCCCTAATATCTTTTCAAGTGACGTAAGACTATGAGAAAAGAATACTGTCAGGGAGACATAAAAGAGGTCGAGAGAGGCTCAATGCAAGGCCTGGAACAGGATTTTTTTCCCCTCAGGATCGGGGCCTAACACAGTAAATTTTGAATAGTCTTTAAAAAATGAAATATCTGTTTACTTTTGTTTTTTCATCAAAAATATGTTGCTTTTTTTAACCAGCTTATAGAGTTTGTTTGTTCGTTCAAAAAATTTGAAATATCAATGACATTTTTCACCCATCATTTTTGACCCTTCTAGCCAAAGGCATAGGTTGGGAGAGACCCCTGCTGTAGCTGAGAATTTGTAATGCATTCTGTTCATGGAGATTCTTAATTTAGATAATACATTAGTTCTCATCTGTTGTCTAAATTACATATAAATAGAGGATATATCATGACAGGGAGTGTAATTACATGTATGGCAAGCAGTAATAGGTTAATCATATGAGTTATCACAGTCAATTTCACAATAACTCATAATACCACTTTCTCGATTCCATAAAATAGAGTTAGAAGCAGATAATTTGTGGCTGGAAAGAACCAGAAGTTTGCATACTGGTATTCCATCCCATACTTCACAGCAGCTGCACCCTGCTTATCAGTACTCAGAACCAATTATGCTATGCTACCATAAAAATGAGGAAAAATACATAATACCATCTATGTATGCATTTGGACTCACACATAAAGTAATTTATACAATATAAAAACATGAAAATCCAGATGTGACCGTGTGCTATTTTACTTTTAACTTCATTGAATTAGAACAGAAACTCTAATCACTTCCTATTTTTCTGGGAATATTCACTTTGTGGAGAGGCAGCTAGGAAGCTGATGACAAATAAACAAAGGCCTGTTGTCCTCTTGGTTGGAAGGCCATTAAGCTAGATTGCCTTTATGTTAATTAGTTAATGTTGGTAAAATGCTTTAACTAGGAGAACAAAGACCTTTACTGTGGTCCCCAGATACTATGATATAGGCAAAGGATGCATGGGGTTCTATTACTGTGCTTTACTCCCCATCTGCATGTCCTAATTTTATTTGGACAGCCAATCTTGATTATATTAAAAGAGGCTTACTTAGATTTCCTTATATCAGGGTGATCAATAATAGAACCAAGCAGCCCTGCCAAAAAGACCTGAACAAAGTAAACGCTAGGGATGTTTGTACCATTGTAACTATACTGATGTCACTCTAGCAGTTCAAACGTCTAGTTTAGATATGCCGCACAGGTATAAAAAGTGACTTGCACTAGAGCAGTTTATTCTAAGTCGCAGCAGTGTAGTGCCACCAATACAAAAGTCCTCATATAGTTAAATCCTTTGGTTTGTATGTAGCGTATTATGTAACTATATAAGATCAAGTGATCTTAGTTGATGTAAAACAATTTTCCTTTAAGAGTTTGTGGTGTGAGCTGTGCTCCCTAACTTGTTGGATGCTACACATATTGAATTAGCATGATTAGCAAGAGCTCTTAGTATCTCATTTAATGGTGCGTGGCCCTAATTTGTCTTTAGACAGTACGTGACCAGAGAATGGCACACTAAGGACTAAATCGTGCACTAAGTTGACCTGATCCTCAAGAGTGGGTTAGGGTGGGTCTTGAGGAAATAGGGACGATTTCTTTCCTCCCCCTGTGCAAATAGTAGGGTGGGAGCCCTCCACAATACAGAGGCCTGAGCTGGGAACTATATTACCTAATTGCAGTGAGTGCTAGTAAGGAATGCCTGTCAGCAGAAGTGCTAGGCAGTAGTGGTTCAGAAGTAAACACTTCTCATGGTGGTATGCTCTCTCCTACATATTGTGCTGGCTACCGGCAGACATTCTGTTCAAGTGCTGGTAGTCCAATTGGCTTTCTCACTCTTGCATAGCCATTCCATTCTAGTGTGGGATTCGTCTCAAGTGCAGGTCTGTCTAGATGTAACAGCCAAGCAGTGTTCCAAATACAATTGCCAGTGCATAATGAGACCCGGCCTGTTCTCATTCCAGGAGTTTACCATGGGGTGCAGCCTTGGTTTTCTCTTAGGCCTTATATACATTAAAGAATCTTAGCAAAAAAATTCTCATCCCTGCTACTGTTGCTTCAGGTGTGCCAGTGGTATGAGCCCTAATATTGAGCCCTAGGCCTCTATCCGCTTCCGGAATGTTTAGCAAGCATTCATTTACTATCACAGGAGCAGCTAACCTGGTGATAAGATCAGTGGGAATTTGTTTACTAAAATTCCTATTTGTAGATATGGTTCAGGTTGTGTCATAAGGATAAGTGAATGAACATGGTAACAGAGCATCCAGGATAGGAATCAGTGACAAGTATTTCTTCTGTGCCCTCTGGCAAAATGGCTGAGCAAAGAACAGAGGGAATCATATAATCTTTGGGGAAGGAATTTAAAAATGCAACTAAAAAGGCAGTTTACAAACAGAGTGAAGTTGGATCAGACTGAAGAAAAGGCACTGGAGTCTGACTGTGAAATGCATAATTTTGTTCCAAAGAATCTCTTGGTAAGTAAATGAAAAACCTTTTATGGTTTTGCTATTTACTATTGCTCTTCTCAGCGCTAACATCTTGGAAGTTAAATCAATATTGATATTAAGTTACAATTCTAATGCTAGTTTTTAATTAAGAGTAAAATATTTAGATAAGGTAGGTAACCCCCATGTCTTTAACATTATTAGCATTTCTTAGTAGCATGTTTATTAGAAACAGATTATACAGCTCAGATAATGCATGCGGTTGTAGGCACAGCTGGTTTATGCAGCTGGCACAGGATTGTTTTTTAATTCAATGTGTGTAGCATCCAACAGGATAAAAAAAGATCAATACCTGGGCCAGTGTTAAGTTATACAGAGAATTTAACAAGAGGTGTTAAGATAGCAGAAGGTGTGGGAAGCAAGCAGTGCGCAGTCTCATATCTGAGGCTGCAGACAAAAATGAAAGCATGAGTGAGAAAAAGACAACCTTGGACAGACAGGTACAGAGTACTAGCATCCTGCAGCATACAGCAAAAAATAAGCCTCCTACTGGTGTGGGCTTCAGAGTTGCAGAGTGGTTTTCTCGCCTTTGCACCTCCTTGAGGTATTTGGGCCTGGTTGCAGTTTTAGCCCCACCCATAACTGAGGTCACTGGCCAGAAGATTTGGCCCTGTGTGTTAGGGGAAAACACATCCTGTTTCTAGTTGGCACAGTGGCTATGCTCTCCTTGCCTTCCAGGATGCATTATGCCTATCTGATTCACAGTGTATCCCAGAATGATCGCTGGGACACATACACCTTTATGCTCCCCCATACAGCAGACTGGCAATCTCAATTACATTCTCCCAACTTTCATTTTTTGCACATTATTCTGTCTTGCAGTCTTGACTGTGTTGATAAAAAGTACAATTCTTCTAGTATTTGTTGCCTATCCAAAAGGGAGAACATGCTGCTAGAACTCTTGAGAATGCTGGTTCTCCCAAGTTTTCCAGCCCAACTTTGAAAGACAAGATGTAGGTAAGTAGAAAAACATTTAAGTGCTTTTCTAAACAGATCATCCAAACTTGTAGAGTTCATAATTGTGAAGCATGAACCATGACTGCACTTACTTACTGTATTGGGTCCTAACATCACCGCTAATATCTAGTACATATTTGTCTCAGAATTTGTGTACATTTCCTCTCTCAGATCTTTATTTCCCTTTCATAGCCCCCTCAGTTAACCACCAGCAGGAAGGCAGCTAACTTAAAATTGGGAAGCCAAGAATGTAGATGGTCTGATTACCTAGCAAGATAACTTAACTTCTTCATTGCACTTCAGTCTCCAAGTGAACCTTCAGGAGATGTCAAGTATCAGAGGGGTAGCCGTGTTAGTCTGAATCTGTAAAAAGCAACAGAGGGTCCTGTGGCACCTTTAAGACTAACAGAAGTATTGGAGCATAAGCTTTCGTGGGTGAATGCCTACTTCATCAGACGCAAGTAATGGAAATTTCCAGAGGCAGGTATAAATCAGTATGGAGATAACGAGGTTAGTTCAACCAGGGAGGGTGAGGTGTTCACACCAGTGGTGTTCACACCTCAATTTCTAGCAGAGCACCTCACCCTCCCTGATTGAGCTAACCTCATTATCTCCATACTGATTTATACCTGCCTCTGGAAATTTCCATTACTTGCATCTGATGAAGTGGGCATTCACCCACGAAAGCTTATGCTCCAATACTTCTGTTAGTCTTAAAGGTGCCACAGGACCCTCTGTTGCTTCAGAAGATGGTATTTTTCCAATCCCTGTGACCAAAACTGCAGGGTTCTGATTGCAAACAAAATCCTGTGGGACTTGCACAGCCTTTGCATCCACAAATATTAGTTCAGCGCCAAAATCCCAGATAAAATAATCTCTGCAATTAGACCTCTTAAAATATCTTGAAAATGAAAAGCATGCATGGAGCTTCCTCCTTGTGGGGAGCAACAAGCATTCTTGCCAGAATTTATGACAGAATGTAAACTGGGCACAGGAAATTAAGTTAGCACATGGATGACCAGAGTGCAGTTATAGCAGCATATATTGCATCCCACACTGGAGACTGAGCAGTGCGGATCCCTGTATCATCAGTTAAAAAGTCCAAAAATTCAGGTGCAGTGGCAGTAATTTCTGGACATGTTAGTCGCTTAGGCCAGAAGATTGAGTTAACCCTAGGGAGCTAGAGACCAAAACCGATGGAACAATTTCAAACTGCTGCAGTCTGGATAGTTTAGTAAATATGGCAACTATCCCTATTCAGCAGGGAAAACACTTAGTCCTTTAATGTTATCATGTTTTCCCACTCTGCCTATCCATATTTATCAAGTCCAATGTATTTCTGTTGTAGGTAAAGGCTTGTCTTAATTTTTCTCCACCTAACAATCCCTATTAATTGCTTTCAATATTTGGCATCTATTGCATTCAATGTCACCACCGCTCAGATGCATATCACTGTGACAGCTGGTTCTCACAGCTGCTTATGAATTACAGGACTAGGGATAAAAGGAAAACAAAGGGAAAAGTTTTTAGAAAACTAGCAATAAAAAAGGGAAGGTAAAACCTGCACTCTAAACCTGAAGTAACCATTCTATTGTACTTTAAAAAAAAGTATTAGAAAAACTCTATGCAAACTATGGGGCATATGATCCCCTCTGATATTTCCTACAGAAGGGAGAAAGGATGAGAACAGCAACTCAATTGGGCTATAATCTGCAAGAGGGAGGGGGCTGTGGCAATGTTCTCTTGTCCCATTTCCATCTTAACTCTACAGAAGTCCCTTTTGTGTAATTCATGTGGCTGGGCTTACAGATATTTTGTAGGGGGGAAGTGTAAGAGGCCAGGGTGTAGAAAGCTGCTTTCTCTGACACCATCCATGTAGAAAACCGTAGGGTACATTACTGAGTAGACAAGAGCTGATATTCTCAGTATTAACTTCTGCAAAAGTCCACTCTACAGCTTCAAAAACAATCGGGGGGGGGGGGAGGCGGGGAGGAGGGATCTGTGGAGTGGTCATACCATCATGGCTCATAGAAGAGTGAGGTTGCCCACAGGAGCCCTGGGAATTTTATTGAGGGTCTCCAGGAGATATCCATGGGTTATAGAGTTCATACCCTTGATCTACTATGGGAGAAGAAGCTGGACCTCACCTCATCTTCAGGAGGTAATGGGAATCCATGACTTCAAGGCCATGATTTTTTTTTGTCTAATTTTGAACCTTCTTTGCGTTTTTCACTAGGAGGAGATGATTTGTCTGTAAGTATTGAGTACAAACATACTCTGTCAAGTAAAATACCTGGAAACTTTATCATAGAGCAAATTTTACATTTGGTACCTGGAGATTCAGACTAAATGTCAGATTTAATAACAATTTATAAAGTAAGTGATTTTTGCTTGCAGGAAAAATGTCATTTCAATCCTTTGTATCTTTTGTATCTACTAAATAATGAATGGTTCTGACCAACAGATCACCCCATGTATCACTTTGCTGTTATACAAATCATTCATTGTAGCTAGTTTGATGAAATGTGCTGATCTTGTGGCTAATTTAAATATCATCCAGATTATTAAAATATTATATTTGAGAAGACAGGTTTTGTGTGTACTTGACATCCATTTTACAGCACATTTTGTGAAGCATGCCAAAGAAAACAAGCTCAAAATTGGAAAAGAAACTGCTGGATTGTTGGCTCAAAAAGACGATCCTGGTAGAATCAAAGTATTTGCTTTTGATTCCCTGAGCTGAAAGTTTTAACCACACTAATGATTGTGGAGGCCTTTCAGCATCTCTGTGTGTTTTTTCTCCATCCTTATTCTCACCTTATTTCTCTACCTTCCCTTAGCTATGACTGCAGACGCTTAGGGGCAGATTGTTGGCCCCACTAATGCTATTTGCCAAGTTTGAGAGGTATTTGACTGTTCACCCAGCATAGAGGAATCCTCTTTGTGGCATAGAAACATTGTAGCACTTCCCATGCCATCCTCTAGTCTCCTGGCATAGGGAGACTGCACAGGGAAAACATTAATCCCTGGCCATGAGTATCTGTGTACAAGATGGAAAAATCATCAGGCACATAGGAGTCCCAAGGGGAGCAAACACCTTCTGCACGTCTCCTGCTGGGGATACTCTGAACATAGAAGAGTCACCAGCAGGCATATAGTTGGCAGAGCCACTTCCTATGCTGCTTTCTCTGTCAGCCATCAGCATAGTGGGTGTGTTGGGGAATAGGGCTATGGGTTGGCATGTGTATAGGCCAGAGGACTATGATCTCTAGTAGTCTCCAAATGGCTAGAGGTCCCTAAGGAACAGCTGGCACAAGAGCTAGTTGAAAATTGTTAATGTTTGGATTTTTTAAAAGCTTTTCAACTAAAAATGAAAATGTTGACAAACTTTTTATTTTTGTAGAAATTTCATTTTCTGACAAGTTTTGAAACAAAATGAAAATTTCCATTCCTAAATCTCCTTCCCCCTTTCCCCCCATAAAACACTCCTCTCCTTTTGTTTTTCTCCAGGGGAAAAAAGGGTGAGGAGTGGATAAAGTAAGACTAAGTGTAATTGTTTTTTACATTTCCCCCCACTTCTATTGTATGAAGTGAAATTAACTCCATTATAAAGATCACTTCTAGTTTGATAACCATACTGTTAGCCCAGCTCTGCTTTTCACTTTGTGGTGTGACTGTTTGCATGAAGAACTGAATAAAATGAATAATCCCCAAATAGGTTTAGATATGGCAGTAGGTGGTGCTGTGCAGTAAGGCAGTATCATGTCCTGGAAACTTTAGTTTAATTATTTTTGTTTTCTTTTGCTTTCTTTGCTCTTTTACTTTAAAATAAATAATATCAGAGTTTCATAAAATAGGTTTCTAGGTCAGGTCTCAGCTACAGGGAATAAATCAGCTAAAGTGATAAAAATGTAAGAAGCTCATTCATTACAATCAATGCTCAGAGAATGCAAATTGCAACTTGTATAACCATTTTATGCTAATCAGTGTTTTACTGATATTCCCATTTTTGTAAACATTTTATTCTCCAAGAGATAGACTATACTTTCAAAAGTGGTTGTACACTGCTCATGGAAACATTATTGAAAGTCACAAAACCACCTTATTGTCTTGGTGTACACTTGCATCTATGTGGGGGAGGAGCAACACTACCCAGAATTTAACAACAAAACATATCACAACCAATCCAAAACATTTTTTTTTGAGCGAGAGAGAGAGAGAGAGAGAGACCTGAAAATTGCTACTCAATACTAAAGCAGACAGCCAAGGATTGCTAATGTTAAAACTGCCATTGCCAATTAATGGACAATTTGCCTTTTGACCAAAAGTAATCTGACCTCGGTGTCTCAAATTTTATTGTGGTTTCCTAAAACAAACTGGGGCACTCTAGGTTATTTAACACAGCACGACACAACAAGCTCTAATCTGATAAAAACGAATTTATGAACTGGTAAAGGAGATATAACCACCTGACTCTTTTGGCACTACCAACTCTGAGTTTCATGCTGTGAAATCCTACCTCCCTAGGAAATGTTGGGGGAGTTCATATGTCTCTGCAAAATGCATCAAAATAAAAGGTTATTTATCAGTTAACTAGTTTACTAAACCATGTAGACTACCACTGTCTGCAGTTATTACTCACAGCTGGGAGTGAGTCCACATTGCTTGCTCACAATCCTTTCACTAATGCCTAACAATGTCGACCTGTTCAGGTCATATCAATTAGTCATAAGAATTTCACCGATACAAAGCACACAGTAACAATAAGCAATCAGCGAAAACATTTTCCTTACTGCATTTTATTGCCCTAGAGCTATGCACCCAAACAGCTGGTTTGCAATGCAGATAAACTAGATTGGCTGTAATATACAAGAGGTAATTCTAACGTTTTCATTTATCATTGCTAACTGTAAACTAACAAGTATAGAATAAAAAGTCCCTTCTGGAATTCTAAAAGCCAATTTACAAATAAATTAACACTTCTGGTTTCCTATTTGTAT